CCCTTCCTTATTCTTGATTGCCTGTGGTCTACTTTTTTTCCTTCTAGTAATGGTGGAAACATGCAAAAATTTAGTGTTTCTATCCCCACAAGTAATCCACTTCGATCTGGATTTTTGGTACCATAAAATTTCTTCCTGTTCTAGAATTTGGTTATACTCATGTTGGAGATTCTCATCTAATCTAGTCAAGTTATGTGAGTAATGTGAATCCTGGGCTTTTTGAATACCCTCTAATCTTGCTAAGATTCTTCTTTTTCTTCTAAATAGGTTACCAAAAGAAATTGTATTCCATTCATTAGAAATATTCGCAAAATTAGTAGAGGCTTTTAATAATGAGAAATTATTAGATTTTCAGGTCCAATCAGGATGTGACATCCACATAGCTTCAAGTCTAAATGGTTTAAATGAAGACGGGGTTAAAGACATACCTTTCAACTGGATCAGCAGAGGATAGTGATCTGAGTAGGTTCTAGGAAGATTCCTTTACGCTAGCCTCTGGAAATTGCACATTCCATTCCGAGTTCGCCAAGGCTCTATCCAATATAATTTTTGTATTCGTAAGACCCTTCCTCATATTTTTCCAAGTTAGTTTGGGGCCGCTGCATCCAAGATCGATGAGACCGCAATTATTGACTTTGTCTTTGAATTTTCTTATTCTACTTGTGTTATTCACCTGTCTCCCCCTTCTTTCTGTATGGCTAGAAAAATCGTTAAAGTCCCCAGCCACCATCCACAAACTTTTATAGTTATCTCCTATACAACTAAGTTCATCCCACAATTGATGTTTACTGGCAGCATTAGGACTCCCATAGACAACAGAAAATAACCATTCATCAAAGTCCATTCTCGCTATAGTGGTGTGGATAACTTGCTTAGACATGCCCTTCGTGTTGATAGAAATATTGGATGGATCCTAGAGAAGCCAGATACCCCCAGCTCTTCCATCTGGTTTCATAAACTCAGAATCAGTAAGACCATACTGGTCGAAGAAGTTCCCCATCTGATTGCTTCGGATTTTCGTCTCTAAAAGCACAACCACATAAAGTTTATAGGCCCTAAAATGGTCATTGAACACCCTTTTGAACCTCTTGTTGCTTGCACCCCTATAGTTCTAAACAAAAATCTTCATAAAGGACATCATTAAATAATGAGGAAGAGGTGTGGATCTATCAATATCCAGTTTATGTCTTGCTACCTCGCTAAACGCCTCAATTGGGATTGCTGGTCTCAGTGAGACAACGGTAGTCTGAATCTTCCCTTCTCTGAGCTTGCACGGTTCCACCACAAGTAAGGTTGATTCCATTATCCAGTGGACAAAAACAATCCATTTGCTCTCCTCCTCTAGATGGAAAAGTAATCTCATCAGGTTGTCTTGAAGGTGGTATGTCTTCAATAGGGGATTTTCCATTATTTCTTTCTTTGCTAACCACACTTAGGTCATGTGGTTTTGGTTTGAGAAGGTCTGTGTCTGGTTTCTATAGTTGATTGGTTGAGGAGAAGAAGGTTTGGGGATGATGAGGGTGTGGATGAGGGCTAGATCTAGAGCTACAAGGTAGATACATGGAATCGTTCATGACCTGTCACCCTACTTTATCACCATTTACCCACCTCTGATCCACCAAATCCATTGGATTGGAGCCAAATTCCAAAGCACCATTGTGACCCTTCGATCTCTACACCATCCTGGCTCTTTAAAGATTTTTTCTTGGGGGTAACGTATACTGGGTTGGGTCCTGTCTGGATTAGAGGCCTACTCCCAGTTCCTTCTAAATCCCAACTGTTGGCCTTTCTTAGGACTTGGGTTAGACCTTTGGGTTGGATTTCCTTGTTCAAGACCTACATCTTTAACTTAGGCTTCCTCGTGGTTTTGGTTCTTGAGGGCCTGGAATCTAATGGAGTGGCCCATCCCTTTCTGAGGTACCGGGTTTCTAAATCCTTGAATTCTTTTCCTTCTGGGTTAGGCTTACAACCAAGGCCCAAACTCCGCCACACTTTTTTGCCCATTGGATTTCATAGGGGTTGAGTCCGAGCTGTCATGTGACCGTTGTAGAGTCTCATAGGTAATGGCTTTTTCCATATGTTCGTCTTCTCCAATAGGATTTTGGTTTTCAACTACTATTGGAGCTTTTATTCCTTGATTATGGGGGCAAAAGGTTGCCATATGGCCTATTCTTCCGCAACCAAAGCAAATAACATGGAGGCATTCGTATTCAACTCTGAATATTCTCAATCCCATTTTATACTGGAAAATCAATGGTTTGCTGAGATCTTCCTCCACACACACTCTAGCAAATATTCCTCTCTCAGTGGTTGCAGTCTTTATATCTACCTTAATTGGCTTACCCAAGGCCTTAGCTATTTGAAATAAGGTTTTTTCATCATAATATTCCAGTGGTAATTCCAGTAACCTTACCCATAAACCTATGGTAATCTCAAAGGCCCTTGAAGGGATGAAATCTAGTTCCCATTTCCTCACTGTAAGGTAGTGGTTCATTATAATCCATGGGCCTCCTATTGAGACCTTGAAGCAATCTTCCATGGACTAGAATTTGAACATGAAGAAACCATTATCCTGGTCAACTGCCTCAAAATCATTTTGCAAAGCCCAAATGTTTCTGACCTTCATACACAACATCTTATATCCAATCTTTTTGCCAAGAAGCTTAACAAGCAATTTTGGAAGTTTGATATGGAGGCAGGATTCATCTGAGGTACCAATAATAACTTGTTTGGATTTCCCAAAATTGACATTTTCCCCATCCTCTGCTTGGCCCTTGCTGGTTATCTTCCCCTCCTCATCATCAGAGGGTTCCTCTTAGGCAGCTTCGTCAAAGTAAATGGCATTTCTATCTTCCAGCAGTGCAACCATGTAATTCCTTGTCTTAGTACCAAGAGGAGTCGTTGGTATATCAATCATCACTTGTTCTTCTTCCTCCAATCGAATGGGTTCTGGGTCTACATTCATCTCTTCATCCGCTAGGGCTATACGATACTCTTTGATCTTCTTGGTACTCAGTTGGAGATGATTGTCTTCTCCAACGATTGGAGCAAAAAGATCTTTGGATCCTCATCCATGAGAGGCGAGATCAGGAAGTAGGGAAAGATGAACAATAATTGAGCACTGGCCAACCCTTTCTCAGAACGCTTTTAGAGAGAGAAAATCTAGAGAAAAATTAGAGCTCTAGTGTTTTGTATCTAAATTCAAAGGTCGTCTATATTCCTCTTGTTTATAAATAGACAACTTCCTCCATGTAGAAGTAATTAAGGCAAAAAAAAAAGTTGTTTTAGTGTTGATTAAAACAATAACAAGTCACCAAGTTAAGGATCAGGTGAGAGACTCTTTTGAACATGGGTTCAATAAGCTACACCGAATAGCCGATGTTGTTACCTTTCCTTTAGCCCCTATTGACAGTGCTATACATGGAATTTCTCAAGAAATTCTCAATTGGTTCATGGATACGCATCCTACACCACCGCCATCTTCAAATGGAAGTAGTTTTTATTCTCCTCCTCCTCCTAATAATCCCAATAACAGGCCAGGAGGACTGCCTGGTTATCCACCTCCACCATACAATAACTACTCGTTTGGGCATCAAAATCCTAAGGTGGGCAAGCAAAAAATTCAGAACGTTAAGCATGGGTTCGAGAATAATAAAAATCACAACAACGGAGCTATCAAAGTTGTCAATCTTGGTGGCGCCTGACAATAAATACTATCAATTATGTATGTGTGTGTGTGTATAATGTTAGCTATATACATATTTGTGTGCTAGTACCTTCAACATGGAAGCTATATAGGAAAATAAGAACTCGATGAACCTGCAAATTGGGTAGTTAACTCTTCTAAGAGTTACCATCTTATTGTTGTAATGCTACGATCCGTCAATAAAATTCTCTTTGTTGATGCTATAAAAACTAAAGCTTAAATGAGAAGGATTCTAACTAATGTGCATGATATATAATCCTGAATTTTTTATTATTACTAGTTGATGCAGATGTATGTTACATGTGAATTATAATTTAGTGTTCTTACCAATGAGCCTTTGATCCAATGATACTACATGTCTTATGAAGGTTTTGCTTTCTTGAGGTCAAGGGTTCATGTCTCTCTCCCTCCTTCCCCCTCCCCCTCCCCCTCCCCCTCCCCCTCCAAAAAAAAAGTGGAAAAAAATTAAAAATAAATAAATAAAATAATTTAGTGTTCTTAGATCAAAATTTTATATTAAAACATGAAAATCTTACCAAATTTTTTCCTGTCCTTCTCTAAAGCAAATAAGCATCGGTGATTTGAATAGAGATTTAACTATGATGATGGACAAATTAATTTTATGCATCACCTGTCAAGTGTTTAGTATGGTTGATAAAATTTCATAAATATGATGGAGAACTCAACACAAGTAACACACGGAGATAGAGTGGTTCGGTCAGGATGATCTACTTCATTTTGAAGGGCTTTGGTTGTCGGGGAGTTTTATTGTTGTAGAAGTGTGGAGAGCTCAAGTGAGAGGAATGAGAGCTCAGAAGCAAGATGCCAAATGTGATAGATTGCCCTTCATATAAAGGCGGGGCTAACATTTTATAATCGCCTCTTAATAGATTAAGGCGGCTTATCAGTAACTAAAAGGCTAATTTGGTGGATGTGGCGTCATCTTCGCAATGAATGAGGCTGTTGCAGGACTCTCCTCAAGACTAGGTCTTAGGATGGTGTGGTCCCTACTCCAAAGTGGCGTGGATGAGGCTCTTGGAATAGTGTTATCTACTCCTTTATGACGTGGTTCTTGGAGCCTTAATGAGTCTGACTAGGCGTGGATCTCTTTTGGGTTGGACCTATTGGGTTTCGTATAAGTGGATCCTTTATTCCAGTTGGGCCCATAACCTGAGTTAGGTCTTGGACTTGGTCCGGGCCCATCATTTGCCCCCCAATGCCTCGAGTCTAATAAAACTTGAGAAGAGGGCATTTAGCAGGATTTAGACTCTGGCTGACGAAGACTCCTTTTAATTTATGACCCCTTTTCCTTCTTAATATAGTTCTTTCCCATAAGACATTCCTTGTCATGAGCTAAGTGACCAGAAATTGCTGTCAAATGAAAGGGGAGATGCAAGAAGTCATTGACTTCAAAGATGAGGTAGGCAACGAAGGAGCAATCAACGTCGACGCGCAGGCCGGCGTCTACGAGGTAGCAGGTGCTAGCAAGTCTGGGTGCTCCATGGACATCAAGGGCGACAAGGGTATCTAGGAGGGCTCTGGTGGTGAGGCACCAAAGGCACGGCCAGGCCTCGAGGATAGGCGAGGAGCTGAGGCGAGGCGAGGAAGGCGTCATTAGGCGAGGCATTGTCTGGAAGGGCGCCGTTTGAAAAGGCACCGTCTGGAAGGCGGCTAGGGCACCGGATATAGAGGGGCGAGCTCGGGCCATTGCAGGAGTCAAGGCTTGGAGGCAAACTGACTAGGCTGAAGTCGTCGAAGCTAGAGGGGAGAACATGGCTGAGGGCGATCATGCAAGGGGAGTGGCACCTTGGGCGCCCCCTGTCAAGGCTTCCCAAGCCTCAAGGCTCGAAGGAGGGGCGACCCAAGTGCTAGGCGCTGAGGTTGAGACACCACTGGCTGGCAACTTTGCTGATCGCGATGGAGGAACCTTTTTTGGGGACAAGTGTAGGCAGGGCTTGTTTGTGCTAGATGTTAAACGCTGGAGTGCTGCGGCAACGAAGAGGCGGTGTCAGATGGACACAAAAAGGATGAGGCCCGATTGTTGACATTGAATCTAATGTAGTCCCACGAGTTGCAAGCGGTTTGAGTTTCAAAAGCATGCTTAGAGATGGCAAAAATAATGTTATTCCAACATCAAAATATCTAACATAATTACCTAGAGAGAGGCAGACTGTTTGCATTAGAGCAAAGACAGAGTTTGAAGATTGCTCGTGAGAGAGCTACACCTCTTCAGATCGAGCTTTTGGTGACCCGTTGGAGAGCCGTTAAAGTGAAGGTAGGCTGACTGTGAGGTTGCCCACATGAGAGCAGAGGTTTGAGGGTTAATCGTGAGAGAGCTGTACCTTTTGAGACCAAGTTTTGACAACTCATGAGAGAGCCGCTAAGCTGAAAGTATAGGCTACCTACTTGATAGGACAACATAGATAGGCAAAGCTATTGGGACCCGCGAGAGAGCCACTAATCTGTAGACATAGGCTGTCTGCTTGAGAGCAGAGCAGAGATATGCCAAGATTTTGACAACCCACGAGAGAGTCTCTAAGCTGGAGATATAGGTTGTCTGATTTAGAACAGAGTAGAGATCAGTCAAGCTTTTGACGACCCGTGAGAGAGCTGATTAGATGGAGATATAGGCTACCTCCTTTAGAGTAGAGCAGAGATAGGTCAAGCTTTTTGCGACTCGCGAGAGAGCTGCTAAGTTGGAGACATAGTTTGTCTGCTTGAGAGCAGAATAGAGATAGGTCAAGCTTTTGGCAACCAGGCGAGATGATTCACCTCACTTGGACCTGTTGATGTCAGCAACATTCATATATTTTTAAGCTTTTGCCAGTAGTTTTGGCATACTCTTTGGTAGTCGCTTCATTACTGAAAAGAGAAAACTCGATGAGCAGAGGCCTCCTAGAAAGGTGGTCATGGTGACTTTGTCATTGGGCTCCACGATTTAGAGGACTTCTTCGTTAAAATAAGTGAGGTAACTCATCAGACTCTCGTTTTGATCCTATTTTACGCTGAACAGATGGGTGGCCGACTTCTGGTGGTGGCGTCTACCAATGACATGTTCCACAAAGGATCTACTTTGTTCGGTGAAGGAGCATATGGAAGCCGATGTAAGCTTGGAGAACTACGGTCAGGCAGATCCCTTCAAGGTAGTTGGAAAGGCTCTGCACATGATTTCGTCAGAAACATTATACAGTTGCATCAAAGGCTTATTGGTGTCGAAGTGATCCAATGGGTCCTTTGTACCATCAAACGCTTCCACCGATGGCATTCTGAATTTCTGGGAAATTGTGTAATTTATCACATCGACTACGAAAGGCGTGTTAGTGCACCTTATGAGATACTTAACAGTTTTTGGTCATTGCGCCTTCATGGCGTTGAAGATGTCACCTAGTTGATTCTGTACTTCCTTGATTTTCTTGTCCCAATGATGGGAGATTCCTTTGGATAGGTCATGAAAGTGGCTCATATGGTCCACACTTTGATTCTTGTCCTCATCCTCTTGGAAACGAGGATCTCCACCGTGGGAAGAGGGAGCTGAAAGAGGAGGTGGAGCTCCCTTATGGTTCTGATGAGGGCTCCCATGTAGGGGGCTCCCAAGGGGGCACCTAAATGGGGAGCTCCTTGACGCCCAGGGCGAGGAGCTCCTCTGGCTTGATGTGCTCTTGGTTGCGCACTTCCTTTGTTATCCGGTGAGCATTAGCTACAAAATTTGCTAATTCTGAGTTATGAGTTATTGCATTGTTCCTAGCAACTGATGTGCGTTTGGAGTAGGATTAGTTAGTGGAGGGGTAATTTCTACCTCGTGTGGTGGATTGTCTTCAAGCTGATTCATGGGTCTGATGGTGATCGTCATAGATACAGCAAGAAAAGTGATTAGATGAGAATTTTGTCAATTCTCACAGACGGCGCTAAATTTATGATGCACAAATTAGTTTTATGTATCACCTGTCGAGTGATTAGTATGGTTGATAAAATGCAGCAAATATGATGGAGAACTCAACACAACCAACACACAGAAATAAAGTGGTTCGATCAGGGTGACCTACTGCACTTTGAAGGGCTTTAGTTATCGGGGTGTTTTCTTGTTGTAGGAGTGTGGAGAGTTTAGATGAAAGCTCATAAGCAAGAAGCCAAATATGATAGATTGCCCCCCATATGTAGGCAGGGCTTACATTTTATAGTCACCTCCTAACAAATNGGAAAAAAATAAAAAATAAATAAATAAAATAATTTGGTGTTCTTAGATCAAAATTTTATATTAAAACATGAAAATCTTACCAAATGTTTTCCTGTCCTTCTCTAAAGCAAATAAGCATCGGTGATTTGAATAGAGATTTAACTATGATGATGGACAAATTAATTTTATGCATCACCTGTCAAGTGATTAGTATGGTTGATAAAATTTTATAAATATGATGGAGAACTCAACACAAGTAACACACGGAGATAGAGTGGTTCGGTCAAGATGATCTACTCCATTTTGAAGGGCTTTGGTTGCTGGGGTGTTTTATTGTTGTAGAAGTGTGGAGAGCTCAAGTGAGAGGAATGAGAGCTCAAAAGCAAGATGCCAAATGTGATAGATTGCCCTTCATATAAAGGCGGGGCTAACATTTTATAATCGCCTCTTAATAGATTAAGGCGGCTTATCAGTAACTAAAAGGCTAATTTGGTGGATGTGGCGTCATCTTCGCAATGAATGAGGCTGTTGCAGGACTCTCCTCAAGACTAGGTCTTAGGATGGTGTGGTCCCTACTCCAAGGTGGCGTGGATGAGGCTCTTGGAATAGTGTTATCTACTCCTTTATGACGTGGTTCTTGGAGCCTTAATGAGTCTGACTAGGCGTGGATCTCTTTTGGGTTGGACCTATTGGGTTTCGTATAAGTGGATCCTTTATTCCAGTTGGGCCCACAACCTGAGTTAGGTCTTGGTCTTGGTCCGGGCCCATCATTTGCCCCCCAATGCCTCGAGTCTAATAAAACTTGAGAATAGGGCATTTAGCAGGATTTGAGACTCCTTTTAATTTATGACCCCTTTTCCTTCTTAATATAGTTCTTTCCCATAAGACATTCCTTGTCATGAGCTAAGTGACCAGAAATTGCTGTCAAATGAAAGGGGAGATGCAAGAAGTCATTGACTTCAAAGATGAGGTAGGCAACGAAGGAGCAATCAACGTCGACGCGCAGGCCGGCGTCTACGAGGTAGCAGGTGCTAGCAAGTCTGGGTGCTCCATGGACATCAAGGGCGACAAGGGTATCTAGGAGGGCTCTGGTGGTGAGGCACCAAAGGCACGACCAGGCCTCGAGGATAGGCGAGGAGCTGAGGCGAGGCGAGGAAGGCGTCATTAGGCGAGGCATTGTCTGGAAGGGCGCCGTCTGAAAAGGCACCATCTGGAAGGCGGCTTGGGCACCGGATACAGAGGGGTGAGCTCGGGCCATTGCAGGAGTCAAGGCTTGGAGGCAAACTGACTAGGCTGAAGTCGTCGAAGCTAGAGGGGAGAACATGGCTGAGGGCGATCATGCAAGGGGAGTGGCACCTTGGGCGCCCCCTGTCAAGGCTTCCCAAGCCTCAAGGCTCGAAGGAGGGGCGACCCAAGTGCTAGGCGCTGAGGTTGAGACACCACTGGCTGGCAACTTTGCTGATCGCGATGGAGGAACCTTTTTTGGGGACAAGTGTAGGCAGGGCTTGTTTGTGCTAGATGTTAAACGCTGGAGTGCTGCGGCAACGAAGAGGCGGTGTCAGATGGACACAAAAAGGATGAGGCCCGATTGTTGACATTGAATCTAATGTAGTCCCACGAGTTGCAAGCGGTTTGAGTTTCAAAAGCATGCTTAGAGATGGCAAAAATAATGTTATTCCAACATCAAAATATCTAACATAATTACCTAGAGAGAGGCAGACTGTTTGCATTAGAGCAAAGACAGAGTTTGAAGATTGCTCGTGAGAGAGCTACACCTCTTCAGATCGAGCTTTTGGTGACCCGTTGGAGAGCCGTTAAAGTGAAGGTAGGCTGACTGTGAGGTTGCCCACATGAGAGCAGAGGTTTGAGGGTTAATCGTGAGAGAGCTGTACCTTTTGAGACCAAGTTTTGACAACTCATGAGAGAGCCGCTAAGCTGAAAGTATAGGCTACCTACTTGATAGGACAACATAGATAGGCAAAGCTATTGGGACCCGCGAGAGAGCCACTAATCTGTAGACATAGGCTGTCTGCTTGAGAGCAGAGCAGAGATATGCCAAGATTTTGACAACCCACGAGAGAGTCTCTAAGCTGGAGATATAGGTTGTCTGATTTAGAACAGAGTAGAGATCAGTCAAGCTTTTGACGACCCGTGAGAGAGCTGATTAGATGGAGATATAGGCTACCTCCTTTAGAGTAGAGCAGAGATAGGTCAAGCTTTTTGCGACTCGCGAGAGAGCTGCTAAGTTGGAGACATAGTTTGTCTGCTTGAGAGCAGAATAGAGATAGGTCAAGCTTTTGGCAACCAGGCGAGATGATTCACCTCACTTGGACCTGTTGATGTCAGCAACATTCATATATTTTTAAGCTTTTGCCAGTAGTTTTGGCATACTCTTTGGTAGTCGCTTCATTACTGAAAAGAGAAAACTCGATGAGCAGAGGCCTCCTAGAAAGGTGGTCATGGTGACTTTGTCATTGGGCTCCACGATTTAGAGGACTTCTTCGTTAAAATAAGTGAGGTAACTCATCAGACTCTCGTTTTGATCCTATTTTACGCTGAACAGATGGGTGGCCGACTTCTGGTGGTGGCGTCTACCAATGACATGTTCCACAAAGGATCTACTTTGTTCGGTGAAGGAGCATATGGAAGCCGATGTAAGCTTGGAGAACTACGGTCAGGCAGATCCCTTCAAGGTAGTTGGAAAGGCTCTGCACATGATTTCGTCAGAAACATTATACAGTTGCATCAAAGGCTTATTGGTGTCGAAGTGATCCAATGGGTCCTTTGTACCATCAAACGCTTCCACCGATGGCATTCTGAATTTCTGGGAAATTGTGTAATTTATCACATCGACTACGAAAGGCGTGTTAGTGCACCTTATGAGATACTTAACAGTTTTTGGTCATTGCGCCTTCATGGCGTTGAAGATGTCACCTAGTTGATTCTGTACTTCCTTGATTTTCTTGTCCCAATGATGGGAGATTCCTTTGGATAGGTCATGAAAGTGGCTCATATGGTCCACACTTTGATTCTTGTCCTCATCCTCTTGGAAACGAGGATCTCCACCGTGGGAAGAGGGAGCTGAAAGAGGAGGTGGAGCTCCCTTATGGTTCTGATGAGGGCTCCCATGTAGGGGGCTCCCAAGGGGGCACCTAAATGGGGAGCTCCTTGACGCCCAGGGCGAGGAGCTCCTCTAGCTTGATGTGCTCTTGGTTGCGCACTTCCTTTGTTATCCGGTGAGCATTAGCTACAAAATTTGCTAATTCTGAGTTATGAGTTATTGCATTGTTTCTAGCAACTGATGTGCGTTTGGAGTAGGATTAGTTAGTGGAGGGGTAATTTCTACCTCGTGTGGTGGATTGTCTTCAAGCTGATTCATGGGTCTGATGGTGATCGTCATAGATACAGCAAGAAAAGTGATTAGATGAGAATTTTGTCAATTCTCACAGACGGCGCTAAATTTATGATGCACAAATTAGTTTTATGTATCACCTGTCGAGTGATTAGTATGGTTGATAAAATGCAGCAAATATGATAGAGAACTCAACACAACCAACACACAGAAATAAAGTGGTTCGATCAGGGTGACCTACTGCACTTTGAAGGGCTTTAGTTATCGGGGTGTTTTCTTGTTGTAGGAGTGTGGAGAGTTCAGATGAAAGCTCATAAGCAAGAAGCCAGATATGATGGATTGCCCCCCATATGTAGGCAGGGCTTACATTTTATAGTCACCTCCTAACAAATTGAGGCGACTTATCAGTAACTAAAAAAGTAATTTGGTGGAGGTGGCGTCATCTTCACAACAGATGAAGCTGTTGCGGGGCTCTCCTCAAGACCAAGTCTTAAGATGGCATGGTCCACACTCTAAGGTGGCGTGGATGAGGCTCTTGGGATAAGGCTCTTAGGATGGCGCTGCCTACTCCTTAATGACGTGGTTCTTAGAGCCTTAATGAGCCTAACTAGGCGTGGATCTCTTTTAGGTTGGTGATGAGTGGGTTTTATTCCTACGAATTGAGTATTTTCGACTTAATGAAATTGCAAGTTTTCAATTATTTTATATTCCTTTTTATTTATTTTGTGTGTTTTGATGTTATTTTGTAGGGATGATCATTTGGAAGGAAACATGATCATTTGGAAGGAAACAAGGTCAATTTGAAGCCTAAGTGTCGGATTTTTGAAGACTAAACAACAAGGGCAATTTTAGGCTTGAAAGGGGACCAGCGCCCCTACGCAAAAAAAACAGTAACTCAGCACCCCTGCACTGATTTTCAGCGTTGCTGCGCTTGTGTTGGCTCTGGACCCAAATTTTGACTTGTTTTGGGCCCGAAATTGAACCCTAATGCTACATATATGCTAGGGTTTGATTTGGAAAGGAGATAGACTGAATTTGGGGGCTGCTAACATAAGAAAAAACCAAGAATTAAAATAAAATTGAAGACAAGAATCAAAGGAAGCGACACAAAGAAAATTGGACTTGAAGGCTAGAGAGGAATTGAAAATTGCAACTAAGTTTTCATTCTTTTCTCTTACTTTTACTTCTTGATTTTCTGAGATGTTGTTTAATTTAAGAAGGATGTTTTTCAATTACATTATAAACTAAATCTTTATTAAGATTGCAACGGAACCTGATGTTTAGTTAAATTGATCTACTCTTATTTCTAGTTTTATTGATCATACATGAGTTGTTTATCATTTTTTGTGTTTAATATATGATTGTGTGACCAACAATTAATTTGATAACCTAGATGAATTGGAAGATGAATTCTAGGTTTAGATCTAAATATGATGACATACATCTAGTTAATTCTTCTTAGGATTGAATTGTTAGGTTTGTGTATAAGATAAGAATATACTTATATATCGTGTGTAACTTTTATGAGAGTTTGAACTTAATAAATCTTTTCTAACTTATTTTACATAGGAATATGATAATTTAATTGAGAGAGATATTATTATCTAACTATCGAAAGAGGTTTGATAAATAATTTTGAGTTCTCAGTTAACAACTTATTTTGATCAATTAACTGGAAAGAGAGTGGAAAGATTTATACTAAGCATTAGAGAAAGTTGTAATCTTAAATTCTTTTATCTGGTAAGTTCAACTCTTGATTATTAAGTTTAGATTTAGTTTTAAATTAGTAATTTCATAATTCAATTCTAATTGTTCAAATAAAGTTGAATTGATATAAAGTTAGTACTTGAAAATTAGTAATAATAATTCTTCATGGGAACGATACTCTACTTATCACTTTATTACTTGTTGATCGTATATACTTGCACGTAAATTGTCAATATCAAATTCGTACAACAGTTGGACTCATTGGGTTTCGTATAAGTGAATCATTTATTCAAGTTGGGCCCATAGCCTGAGTTGGTTCTTGGTTCGGGCCCATCAAACTCATACAATTGAGGCTTGCACCATATAAAACTCTAGGATTCATATGATAGAGGCTTCAACCACACAAAATTTAAAACTACCATCGGCTACCATTGTATTCACTTAGCTACATTAAAGTAAATATTGAAATATCATATTCCTGCATATACAGCGACAATAACATGTTCATTGAAATTAAATTTATCAAGAAACTACAATGGCTACTAGTGTGTCATGCATGTGCAGCCTCTAAGGACTTTATTCAACTTAGATATGGAGAGGTTGGGGCAAATGGAGTCTCCAAAACAAGTTTCATTTCAATCCCGAATAGATCGTCTAGCTAACAATTCACATACAACAAGCGATCCTTGAGAAAAGCCATGGGATTACTTAGCCGACGGCTGGGGTGGACTTACAGGCGGTCATGGTGGCGAGTTGCTTTTAAGGTGCTTTCCCAGCTTCGTTTTCGGAAGTTTGCATGGCTCCGTCGGTGTAGACAGATAGTGAGAATTCCCGAGTACTATCAATTCACAAAGTTAATTAAGCCAATAGTTATGGTATAAGTGATTCCTTTATCATTTTCTTTATGCTCTGTTTGGATCTCGAAAACTACAAAACAAAAACACCAAGGAAAGGAAATAATTTGTTGTACCTTTTAATTTATTTTTTTTCATTTCCCTCGCATTTTCCTTAATACTTTCCAATATCCAAGCATAGCATTAATTAAGCCATTTTGACTTGATAATACATACCCAAAAAAGAGTAAAGGGATGTATGATAACACCAATTCATTACTTAATTATGAAAAATTTCAGCACTTAATCTATTAAATTGTGGTTGATAACGCATTATGTGATATCACTTAAAATTGAGTTATAACTGACATAAGGTTTAAATTTTCAGCTAGAAAAAATTTGACTTTTCACTTATAACTAAATAAATTAATTGGAAGACATTTTTTTAAGATTTAAATTGACATATTTATCTATAAATAATGTTAATAGAGTACCTCTTAATACTTTTAGTACTTATAATTCATTATTTA